CTGTGTTCTGCACCATCCAAACGCTCGCGTCTGTGTTGCTGTCTGAAGCTTACAAGATGCAGTGATACTTAGTGACAGAGCAAAGAGACCAATTTCAATTCAAAATGGCACAAACATAAACATACACAAACACAAAAAACACATTTTCACAGTTAAAAGAGAACATGCATTCTTATATGTGTCACTGAACTTGTTAATGGTGTAAGTGTGAGCGAGTGGAGATGTGTGACTGCAACATCTGAGTCAGAATACATCTACTTAAAGGAATGTTCTGGGTTAATTAAATATGACAAACAGCATCTGTAACAATACCACACTATACTTTGACTTTTGACTTTGACTATAATTTTGACTTTTACCACTCAATTTGCAAAAACAAAACACAATTGTTTGTCTATGGGGCAAGGAATTACCACTGGCAATAAATGTTAAACTACTATAAACAATAATATACAAAAATAATCCTGGTATAGACCTTATGTAGCCCCGCCCCTTTTCAGCGCTGCGCTCGTTGTCTTTTGTCCTCCGGTCTGTATTTTCACAGTGATCTTGCCTATTTATGAATGAACGGCTCGTTTTAAAATCTTCTACTGACATTTGTTAAGACATCTGCTTTAAACATTACAATCCCCATGATAACTTTCGTTAACTTTACATTAAGTAAATCCACTTCAAAAGCTAATTACTCCTGGACAGTAATGCCATAGAAATATACAGAGCGACTGCAAAAACGGAAGTTCAAAGACAATACTCTAAAGATGGCGGCGCCCTTGTTTTTCTGGTGGTCTATATAAAGGTCTATAACCTGGTAATTTTCTAATTAAATGAGGAAGGACACCAGATTTTTTTTTTTTTTTTAACTATTTGCGAAGCAGAATTTCCATCCACTAATTACCTCTATAACATAAAATAAGACATTTGTCTACGTAAAAAACAAAAGCATTACGAAAAATAGAATTATTTAATTATAATAGAAAAGTTTATATAAATCACAATAATAATAATAATAATAATAATAATCATTTCTGTGTTTCAACCCTCTGTAATATCTTGCCCCAAAGGCATCAATTTAATTATGTAAGTGTAAATATATGTTTTCACTTGTTTTTAAACCAGAAAGAGAGAATATTATCTGTGGAAATGTCATGGCACGGATCGGATGCTGTCGACAGAAATTAACCATACTATTTGAATTTATAAGCAACAATACAATATAGACATTAAAGCTGCAATACCTAAGATTTAGATGCCGCTAGAGGGCGCTACATTCAAAACAACAACAATGGCTTTGCTTGATGACGACGTGGAGGAACGCGGAATGATGTGAACTGTTGTTTTCAACTCCACCGTGGATAAATCAGTCAGACGGGAATCGAAAATTAGTTGTCATGGATGAGGTAAAGTTCGATTTCTATAAACGTTGCGTTTAATGACATGCTTGTTTTTCATTAAACTGAAATAACCGCAAGAAAAGTCAGGTTCAAAAGTAAATTAGTTACTGTACGAGTCACTAGACGAAGCTATGTGGAGAGGGTTTGAAGGGGCAGGTCTCTTGCAAGGAGTTGACGTGGCTGGTCCTCCTTGGTAACTTTATAAAAATAAAAAATCAATTTAATGTACATTTGACACATCTTTTCATGTTGTGTAAGTAACCACAGCTACAGTTTCACAAAATTAACGTTAAGGGGGTCGCACACCGGACGAGAAGCTGCAGCGCCGCGTCGCGCCACATCTTTAAAATTCGAACACATTATTATCTAAAAGTGTATACATACCGGCGGCGCCATTCGGCGTCTGTCCGCGGCGCCCAGCAACGTCTCAGGACCGTGTTCAAAATCCTGCTGCGGCACAGAGCGCCATTTACATAGTTTTATATAAAATTTTAATTATTTTTGTCTCAAAATCGTTGCTAATGGATCCTGACTTCGCCCTATGCTGCAATATGCATTTAGTGTTGCAGTCATTTACAGAAATTAGCTGCTTGAATGACAATTGCTGATGTTATTATTAGAATTTTCAGGTGAGATTCTCAATTCATTCTGTGATCGGATGCTCTGAGGTAAAGTTTTCAGAATGCAAACTCAGCAACGATTGTATTTAATTGTACAGTACAATCATAACATAGAACAGACATTATCTTCATTTCATGTCATTAAACATTGTTCGATAACATTACTGTGGAGTTGTCCTAAACGTGGCGTGACGCTTCTCGTCCGGTGTGTGACCCCCTTTACAGCCAACAGTTCACATTCCAAGAATAAATGAAAAGAATAATTGTGCTCCATTCCATAACAAATGTGCGAAACAAGCTGACGTTTGTTGCTTGATAGACGCTAACGCACAACTACAACTACCGCATTTGTCCAGGACTACACGTAGTACGAGCGGAAACCGAGGTAAGCGGATATGATGCGATTGACTGGCGACTCCCAGCTCACCCCTGCTCATACGCCCCATTTCCTTGGTTAAAATCTCAATTTTCTCGCGATTTAAACATTGTTTGAAACATTTGGAATATTGTGAGTTATCATCATAACTAAATATATAACACTGGCCTTGTGATTTTGGGATATTTTAATGCAAAAATCTTAGGTATTCCACCTTTAACCACACCAACTATAATTAATACAGTTTTGAACCCGGAACATTTCTTTAATTACAAACCCAATAAAAATCCTATTATAAGCTCTTTACAAAAGCAATTTAAATGCTTTCCTTATCACCCGTAGATGATCATTACAGCAAAGAAAAAAAAAAACTTAATTTAGATGGTGATCATCTCTCTGAAAAGGCCATCTGACTACATAACCACATTAATTTTGAGTAAGGCGTAATTTCATTCCATGTTGGCGTAATCAGTTTTGTGAGTGGAAAGCCAGTGCTACTCTTGAAATATTGCTAAGAAAGAGACCAGGGAAACCATTATTTGCTTACACCATTAAATGTATGTTGATATCTGGTAATATGAAATCGGTAAGTCTGATTTTTCATACAGTGAACATTTCATGGAGGGAACATGAAAGGAAACTCGCAGAGAATTAATCCTGGTGGAGAATCCACGCCTCGGGCATGGAGTGAGTGCACATAAGAGAAAGAAAGATATGAAGAGAGAGGAGGAAAGCAAATAAGACAGCGTGAGCAATAAACAGCTAAGGATGATGTAAGTATTTTCCTGATTGATTCATATCGTGTTGAAAACCACTGATTTACACCCCTGATCACTTTTAAAGGAACAAACTGTTCTTAAACCTGTGTGCTGTCATGGATCTTTTCCATACAAGTCATCGTCATCACAACCGTCAAGCTTACATACTGTATGTGAAGAGTTCAGATGCAAAAGCCTCTAAATGCCATTTGAAATTTTCTTCTAAAATGATCATTTTTATCAAGCTTGTATATTTAAGTTCAGTAATTTCACTTAAAGTCCCCGTGAAATCAAAATTGAACCTATTTACTTTGTTAGCGCATATTACTAGTCTTGTGGTGAACAATTAATCCGTGCAAGTGAATATATATTAAAAAAATGTTTTACCTTAGTAATCTTTAATCAAAATCTGAAAAGTTACTTCCGGTCTGGAACGGTTTCTTTTTCTGATGACGTAGGTTTCACAGTTTGGGTGGGGAAACGCTTAACCACTCCCCTCAAACCGTTAGTTTGCTATGAGCGAGAGATGGAGAGGAGGAGCGCTAGAGTAAAACCCTGCCCTCTGTTCAATATTCCGTTTCACTTGGAAATACGTCACAGCACTGGAGAAAAATCGTTTGCAACTTCCGGTTCACGGGGACTTTAAATGACAATTATGACCTATTAATTGTCATTTAAGTGAAATTACTGAACTTAAATATACAAGCTTGATAAAAATGATCATTTTAGAAGAAAATTTCAAATGGCATTTAGAGGCTTTAGCATCTGAACTCTTCATGTGTAGAATGTGTACAATGTTAAGATTCCCCTGTTTTGTGTTCCCGTTTAAAAGCTTTGGAATTGACATGAGGGCGAGTAAAATATGAGAGAATTTTTTATTTTGGGGGAATGAATTATGCCTTTAACACAAACTCTATCAGGTCATTTGACCCACACACACTATAAATCATCAATATGCTGCAGATATTCTTACCATCTTTCTCGCTACTGCAGCCTCTCCTTATTTATCCCGCTCTCTTCTATCTTTCCAATCTTTCTGAAACACGCTTACACACCGTCTCACACACACTGTCAAAATTCCAGTGGACTGTGCACATATTCAGCAGTCATAAAGCCAGCATTTAGGGAATCAAACAGGACTAAAAAAATTAGTTATCACACTCTAAAAAAAAAAATGCTGGGTTGTTTCAACCCATGTTTTTAAACCCAACGGTTGTGTCTGTACACATTTGACCCACATTTGACACATTTGTTTTTTTTAGAGTGTAATATCTGATGACAATTAAGTATAGGGCTCTAAGCAAAAATGCTACTGGGAGTGACAAAAAAAAAAACACCAGAAATTTAATATGTTGAAGCAAAAAAATAGCAGCTTTACAAGGAATAGTAAGGCTAGGAAGAGGGAACTCCTTGAGATGTTTAAGTCGATGAAGAAGAAGGCAGTTGTCCCCAGTGCTTCTCAACCTATTTTTTCTTAAATATCTCCACAGCCCCATCAATACTGCTCAAGTATCCATTCATAAACACCAAACCAGACAAATGTGCCTTAATAAAACCATTTAGTGTAACATTTCAAAATGAATAATCACTTAAAAATAATTCAGCAATACTGTATGTGTAAAACAGAATCACACTGTACATGTTTTGTTTTATTTCCTTATTTCCATGTGCCCCTTACAACCTGCTTGAACGACGTGTGTTTTGTCGCGTACCAGCAGGTGTGGTGTCTCCCAGTCCAGATGTTATTCCAAAGCATTTTGTAGCATGTCCATTTCTCAGGAAGTACAGATGTGGCCGCTCTATCCTTCAGTGTACACGTTTATGCACGTGTTTGTGTGTGACTAAGGACACTTACCTGCTCTTTTGGCAGGCGGCGCAGATATAGCCACTCTCGCTCTGGCTGTAGGTGCGGCAGGATTTGCAGACGTTGTAGTGGCAGTCCAGACACGGGCGTTTGGGGTTGAGCAGGAAGGCGAAGGGAGAGCAGCAGCGGATGCAGCAATGCTCGTTGAACTTGTGCTGCTTGGACAGAAGCAAACAACGACTGCCCTCCTCCTCCAGCTCCTGCTTCATTTCACTACAGAGAGAGAGAGAGACAGGGGGGATTGGAGGGGAGGGGTTGGTGGAAAGCGAATGAGAGGGAGAGGGAGGGGATAAACAGAGAGAAGGGGGGAGTGAATGAGGAGATGGAGAGAGAGAGAAAGAGAGGGGGAGAGAGAGATAGAGAAGGAGAAAGGTGAGCAAGTGCATCTGAAGGAGAGGTTGAAGGCGCACAGTCATGCAGAATAATTGGAGACGCTGCGAGGAATGAAAAATTAAAGGGAGAATATTTTATTCTATTATTCTATTCCTTTTCTCTTACTAATAATTTTCTATTTACACACGTGCATACACACAAACATAAAAACAGTATGAGGATAAGGGCTGGACTAGGTTTGAAAAAAACAGACCACACAGCAGATTCCCACTATATAGTTGTGAAACCGAGGTCCCTCCTAAGTTTCAGTTCACACAGACAACATTTTTAATTTTTGCATTTCACTGCACTCCTCTTCCATTTTTTATTTTTTTATTTTTTGAACTGATGCGTTTTACTGCTGTGCTCACATTCTGCAACTTTTGCAGCATCTTGCGATTGGCGCTCAAGTTAAAAGCTGTAAACCATGGGAGGTTTTGGGTATACAAAGGTTTATGAAACTCCAAGACTTACATGCCAAATTAAACAAACACTAGGGCAGAAACAGTGTAATGTTACAGGGCTGGTAAGGATATTTTACAACCTCATCAGGATTGTGACCACGTGCACTAGAAAGAGGCAATGGGAAGACAGAAACCCTTTTTGAAACAGACTTTTGTGCATTAATCATAGACTGATCCATAAATCACATACTGTAGCATTGTGTAAATGATTTACTGTCTTGTGTACTATTATGTACATAATATGGCATGTACCTTGGTATACAACCAACTCACGATCAATGGAACCTCACCTGTATCATGCCTCCTACCAAATTAATCCTCATTTAATGACTCACACTTTGATGTACATCAGGCCTTGATCCAACCAGATATGGGCTCATGCTGGAGAGAGAAGACTCTCTCACGAAGAACCAAGGACAATCTCAGGAGTTTAGAAACCAGGACTCCAAGCAACAATGACTCCAATCACCCACTCTTCTGACTTCCTCACTTCTCCTGGGTACTCGGTGTGACCCAGGGCCCCAGGCCTTGACCAAACTAGCCATGTGTGACCAAAGATAACTTTCAAACAACTTCTACTTGCCATTGCCGGAACTTCAGTTTTCAAGAATTGTTCCCACTACAAATGCAAGTATTCAATTCAATGAAATGTCAAAATGAAATGCTGTTGGTTCTTCTCATAGTTAGATGGATCTTCTCTATCGTTACATCATTCCACCTCTCACTCCTTTTTCCTGTGTTCCATGTATTTACAGTATGTATATGGTAAAAAATGGTAAATGGACTGCATTTATATAGCGCTTTCATAGACCCAATGGCCACCAAAGCGCTTTACAATTTGCCTCACATTCACCCATTCACACACCGACAGCGACGGCAGCCATACAAGGCGCCATCCAGCTCGTCGGGAGCAGCCAGGGTTAGGTGTCTTGCTCATGGATACCTCAACACTTGGTCAGGTGGAACCAGGGATTGAACCACCAACCTTTCGGTTTGTAGACAACCTACATGAACCACTGAGCCACTGCCGCCCCATTTACGTATGTTTGTTTAGTTTATTCATGTTTATAATTTAGTTAAAGGGACACTTCATCTATTTGCATTAAAGGGATAGTTCACTTTGAAATTAATTGTTGATATGTTTTAGCTTACCTCAAGGGCATCCAAGATGTAGGTGTCTTTGTTTCCACAGTATTTTCAATTTTGACATTTTTCAGTCAAACCGTTGTTATCTATCAGTCATACACTGGAGGCTAAGGGGCTCCACCAAAAAGCATGCACAGAGAAGTCAAAATTAAACATGATTTAATGACTCGTAAATGTAAGTACACATTGCTGGCCTAAGACACGAAACGAGCGGTTTGTGTGAGAAAACGAACAGTATTTATATCGTTTTTACCTCTTGTAATCATAGCCATGACAAAATGATCTGACGGCACGGGCGCTTCCGTCTGCGCATGCGCCGGAAGTGATCGCTTGCGCGCCTACGTCACTCTTGGTTTATACAGAGATATCGGAAGTTTTACCTTTCACTAAACATATTTAGATATAAGGGAAACCGCAACGGAAGACGATTTCGGTATATCTAAATTTGTTTAGTAAAAGGTAAAACTTCCGAAATCTCTGTGTAAATATTGAGTGACGTCACACGCAAGCGATCACTTCCGGCGTAACATTGAACTTCATTCAGTTCGGTTCAGTTGGACATTGCACAACTGATTCAGATCACTTGGACGTCACCGTGATTACACGAGGTAAAAACCATGTAAATACTGTTTGTTTTCTCACAAAAACCGCTCGTTTCGTGTCTTAGGCCATCAATGTGTACTTACATTTACGAGTCATTAAATCATGTTTAATTTTGACTTCTCTGTGCATGCTTTTTGGTGGACCCCCTTACCCTCCAGTGTATGACTGATAGATAACAACGGTTTGACTGAAAAATGTCAAAATTAAAAATACTGTGGAAACAAAGACACCTACATCTTGGATGCCCTTGAGGTAAGCTAAAACATATCAAAAATTAATTTCAAAGTGAACTATCCCTTTGAGCTTTGTATCTTTCGAAACCCATATTTTCGAATGGTCATTTCAGATGTGTTTTTAATTGGGGTTGGAGCTCAACTCTGCAGGCCAGTGGCCCTCCAGGAGCAGGATTGGACACCCATGTTATAAATAGTTAAACTTTTAAAAATGCATCTCTAGAGAGTACTCTTTTTTTTTTCATTTCAGTGCCTCACATCTCATGTCTATAAACACAAAAATGTGTTCTGTGCTTTTATAAAGCTAATATTGTTTAAACTTGACACTGCATCTTCAAAACATGTCATCTAGCACTTTTACGTAGACAAAAAAATAAAAAAGCAATGAAACAACGTATTTTGTGTAAATCTACTCTAAGAATCTGACTACCTTAACAGTCTTTGTGTAGGAAGCAAGACTATGACCTCATTGAAATGCTGCCTCCGTAGGCAGCTAACAGGTCAACCAACTCATCGGGAAAAGTTATGATGCCCTGACTCACATGCTATACGTTTCACTTGGCAAATGAGCAATACATTTAGTCAACCCACTGTTACGTGTATCAGCACAAAGAAATGATCATTCCATTAAATTATTCTACTCTACCTGCCCTCCAATTCTTTGCTTTCCTTTTTAGATATTCAATATTTTAAACTAGATGTGTTGCTTTGATACCCAGACAACAGGACGCCTACACACAAAGCAGGCTGTTACGTTCCAGAGAAACATGCCAGACCAGTATCAAGCCTCTTGTTTCAAAGGAGGGGCTAGAAGTTATATTTACCACCGTGGGGTTTAAATTATCCCAATTAATTGTGGAAAGCTTATGAAGCAAACACTGTAAAGCCATGCGGATAAGAAAAAGATTTTGAGGGTTTAGGAAACACATGGATGCCTGTGAATGCACACAATAGTCCAGTACTTTAAAATCATAATGGTCAGAGATGTTTAATTGGATGTGCACGCTCATATCCCCGGTTGTTACATTAAGTTTACCTTTGCTGGTGTCATCTAATGGCCCACTTAAAGTTAATCTTTAAAAACACAAATAAGTTAATAACACTGTTAAATGTAATCCTTTAAAAATATCTAAATAAATATGTCACACGCTATACATTATATTGTTATGATGCCTGAAGTCACTTGAGGCATTTAAAAGGATTCGTTTTTTAGTGTTTTTATTTCTTTTTATTTTGACTAAATATAGAATTTTATTATCAGCTGGCAGGACCCTACAGTTGGGATCAGGGCCGGAGTGGTACCCATTCCCACCACCCAAACATACAGATTCATAACAAATTACATATACGCTTCTTCAGCATACATTCTGCAATCAACATACGAATAGGCACAGCTGACAGACAGCAGTATGGGTTATGCTGCTGAACCGAAGTGCAGTTAAAGGGGGGGTTGACTGCGATTTCACTTTTTTCATTTTAAATAGTGTGTAATGTTGCTGTTGGTGCATGAACAGTATCTGCAAAGTTGCAGCGCTGAAAGTTCAATGTAAGCAGAGATATCGTCTTTTAAAAATCAGGAAGTATAATTGCCTACAAAAACGACTGGATTGGGACTACAGCTGGGTTATGGTACGTCACTAACCTGCACATTTGCATCAACCCCTCCCTCAGAATATATGCAAAAAATGGCATGCGTATATTTCTGAGGCACGTCGACTCGTCGAGTGTGTTGTTCACGCAGCTGTCAGGTTTTCTGTGTTTCGGGCTTCCCATGGACGCTATACTTCCTCAACAATGGATACAATTTATCTTTGATTATGTTCCTGAAAATGACGATCGTAATCTAGCTCTCTGTGCTGCGCATTTTACGGAAGACAGCTTCCAGAATCTCCACGAGTTCAATTCCAGATTCAACAAGAAACATGAAGCAGTTCCTACTTTAAAACAAGAGGCAGCAGTGTTGGGCCACAATCTGTAAGTAGGCTAAGACTTCATCATTTTAAATGTATTTGCATGTATAATTCCAGATGTAACGTTAGCCTTGTGTTTTATTGTTTTCAAATGCCAGCGCTGGCTTTATAGCCACTACTAGTTAGCATATGCTATTTTGTGTCCACGGCAAACTCGTACAAACATTATGGATCTTAATTTTCTATAAGTACTAATGTTTTAAACGTATTTTTCATATGCTTTATGACGTTATTTTCGATTTGATCAAGAACGTAAACATGCCAACGCTGTTTGAGTATGACATTAGTAGCCAGTCAGTTGCTATTGTTGCCAGTCAGATGCTATTGTGTAAAACAAACGTGCAAAAAGTTAAAAAAAAATGTAGCAAATTATCATTCAGAAACGTTTAGTAAGAGCTGTGTGTGGTGTGGTTCTGTTTGACTCT